GGCCGCGGGCCGCCCGGGCGTGCGGGGCGCTTTGTGCTCCTGGGCGAACTCTGCGAACGCCGCAAAAGGTTGTCAAGATGAACGTGGTTCGAAACACGCCATCTGGCTGGGACTGCTGCTGTGGGCTGTGTTTTCTGTCAGTCTGCTTTGGACCCAGGGGAGGTGTTTTTACGAATCTAGAAAGTGGCAGGAATTTTGCCCACCGCCTGTCGTCTGCAAACGGTCGTACGATGCTGGCACCGCTCCTTACCTGCCGTGGGCAGCAGTGTTTTCCTTGTGCGCATCCCTCCCTCCCCCAGCAGCGCGCAGCGACTTCGCTGCCATCCAGCAGGATGCTGAAAGACAAAGCCTGGATCCCATCTCCAGCCACTGAGATTTTGCAGGCAGCTGAGTCATGCTCCCAGTATGACCAGTGGTTCAGCCTGACCTTCCGCTTTCTGGAGCTGGGGCCATGGGCTCGTTTCTGTTCAGGACTATCAGCCCAGGTGCCCGTGACGGGCCGCACGTCCTGCACACAGCAGGAGTGGCTGGCAGCTCTAATGTGCGGGCACACAGCTACAGGAACAGCCTGGGGTTCCCGCTGCCTTGTGCGTCCATTAGACAAGGATCATCTGATGCGTCTGCAGAAGAATCTGTTCTCGTGGCCGCTGGGTCCTCACTTTGGGGGAATGGAGATGGCCACGGCCTTTTGCTGGGCAGAGCCAGCAAGGTTCATTTTCCTTGTCAGCATTCCTCAGGGATGGGAGGATGGAGATGTGGGTGCTCTGCATCATTGCAGCTTCTTTCAAATACGCTACGGGTGACCAGAGTCTGGCTTGAAGAGGCAGGGACAAAATAGGGCTGGACTCTAAAGCAGCCTGGTCAATGCAGCAGTTTTGTCACAGTGCTTACGTGGGTCTCTAACCACGATGGGCCCAATTCTGACGGCCCCTCTCAGAGTTTTACTCAAAGTTTGATCAGACAAAAGCCATCTGTCCATCTCCCTGGTATTCCCCTCCCTGCTCTAGCTAAGCACCTGCAAGCGAGAAATTAGCATCGACAGATCCTGAGATATTGCTGAGCCTGGCTCAGGCTAATCCCATTTGGAGGGCGTAGATGCTGAGTAAGGACTTGAGGATCTGGTCGGAGAGCTTTGAGAGAGGCTGGGTTGAGAGAAAACGGCTCGTATGGGGTGCAGCGTTATGGCTGCGGGAGTGTCGCTGGGAGCACAGGGAAGGACAAAATCGGCCCGGCCGGAGCGATGGGTGAAGGTGGCCGTGGAGGGTGGCGCGGTGGCCTTTCCCTGCCGTCTGGCAGCTGGGCAGGCTGCCTTAGAGCTGTGCTTCTGCCTGCTCTCCTCCGTGAGTGCTGCTGAAAGGGCAGTAGCGGGGTTTGTAAGTAAAGGATCAGTTTAATAGCAGAATGGCTTTGTGTGGCTGAATTGTCTCCCACCTTA